ACGCTGCCACGCTGCGGCCAAAGCGCGCGGCTAAGCGGCGCACCGGGCTGCGGGAAAGCGCAGGCGAGCTCGGACGGCATGGCCACACGCGCTGCAGGACAGACGGCTCCGAGGGCAGGAGGGTAAGCGCCCAAGGCCGGGCTTCTCAAGCCAACCTCAACCTTTTGAGCGTGAGCTCGCCCTGTGCCTACGCCGCGCCGCGTCTGCGGCGACTACTCCCCTTGCCAACGCCTTTGCCGAGAGGGCTCGGACGAGAGCAGGGGACAGCAACACGCTGGAGCACCCCCCCGTTTCACCCCGGAGAGCAGCAGGAGCGCGTTCAGCGGCACGGACGCCCGGCAGGCTTTACCTGTAGCTGCACTCCCCTCTTGTCTTCGTTTTCCACGTGCAGGCGGATCCGCGCAAACTTTTCGTCGGAGATGTGCAGCATGATCATGCCGTGCAGCTCCATGTTCTGCAACCCTCCGTCACGGCCGCAAGTCAAGGAGATTTTCTCCTCTATTTTCATGTGCACGCTAGACAGACGGACAGACAAGAAAGTAGCCGTTGAGTCCTGTGCCCGTCAGCCGACGGGCGAGATAGGAGGTCTGCGCCCAGCAAGGACGGGCTACGTGTAATAATGAGGAACGATTTGTGTCTGGGGAACAGGACAAAGGGCAGCTATTTTAAGAGAAAAAGGCACAGGAAAACCCCCAGCCTCAGCCGACCAGTGGCCGTCCATCCCGTTTTAGTTAAGGCGACTCCTAATCGAACGAGCCCTTCGCTTTTCCGCTGCTCTGCTTGCCAAGATCTTGCCCACCAGCTACCGAAATTAACAGGCCAAGTGCGCACGCTGGACTGAGCGGCGGGAAAAGGCCTGCTCTGAGACCCAAAAAAAGGAAGCTGGCTCCCGAAGAGAGCGCTGCGATGAGAGCCCTTCCAAAGCGAAGGCCGTACCCACCTCTCCATATTAACGGGAGGAGTGAGAACCTTGGCTGCTTCCGTAGAGCGCTTGCCGACGGCAGTCATGATATTCTCCCCTTCCGATTTCAGCTTGTCCACAAAGTTGTCCACCTCCTTCCCCTTGGCACCAAGTTTCAAGGCTTTACTGGGACCTGAGGGCCTAAACAAAAGGCAAAGGAATCTCCAAGTCGGCTCGTGGCACCAGACCCCTCCTTCCCCAGCCACCTTCAAGCGCTGCAGCCGCACCACCCCGGCCACACGGCCTTCACCTCCGCAGCCTCCGCAGGGGGAGAACGCGCCTGAAACCGACCATCGGACACGCAGGGCGCCAAGTCACACTTTAGACCTGGGCTCTGTTCCGTGCGTTGCCAGCAGCTGGGACGGCTTTTCCTCGCGCAAAGCGAGAGGCCCAAAGACTCCGGAGAGACTCCGGGACGCCCCCCGCGGCACACAGCACAAACGCTGCTCAAGGGCAGAGCGGGGGGTCTCCAGACCGCGCCCACCACCTTCGGGGCTCGGAGGTCGACGCACGCAGATCGGCAACGCCAAGGGGAGGCTTTAGGGTGGCGCGACGATCTCTGCCCGCGCAGCATCCGAACGGGAGGGCCACAGAACCCGTGCCAGAGCGCCTTTCTTTGGGCAGGCGGCTGGCTCCGAGGAAGGCTCGCTCCCTGCTGCCCACCCACCTGGCAGGCGCTGGCGCCACTTTGGGCTTCTCCGTTTCAACGATGGTCTCCGTGATCATCGCCGCTGTCGTGCCCCCGGACACGGCCGAGCTGCCGAAGCCGCCGAAACCGGGCGCCTTCTTGCCCTGCCTCTCCGCGTCCCTCCTGGCCTGCTGCAGTTCCTTCGCTTTGCGGCGCATCTCAGCTTTTGCTTCGCGTTCCTGAGTCTGAAGCAAAAGACCCCAGGCTGAGAGGGCTTTGCCACCTCGGCCTCACCCCACACAGGAACTTAGCGCCCTTTGCGGGGAGAACGGAAACAAGAGGAGGGCGCTTAGCTTCCAGGAAAGCAATTCTACGATCCCCGTCGGAGCGGAGCAGCGCCGCTGAGCAGGGAGAGCAGCGCTGCCCGGCCATGGTACCTCGCACCAGCCTTGCGGTTACTCCCGCTCACCTCTCGGACTGCTCGGAACACCTTCTCTTCGTGCGAGTCCATCTCGGTGAAGGTCCGGATTTGCGCCAGGTTCACGTTCTCACGGTAGCCCAGGGCCACAATTTCATCAAAGGCAAAAATCAGGTCGAAGCAGTGTTCGGAGATCTCGTTCTCCTCCAGAGCTCGACAGTATTCAGGGATCTAGTCAGGGGAAAACAGTTTAGAGGAGCACCCGCAGCAGACAACACCGTGCAAACATTTTCCTTCTGCCGTCCCCAGCTGCACTAGCCCTCCAGGAGGCCAGCGCTCCACTCAGCTGCTTCCCGTAACCTCACGCTGCTGACGAACAACAAGACAAAGTTTTGCCGTTACCAGCTTTTCCTACACTAACATACTTACACAACCTCTTAGCTTCATCCTAACACTAGCTCGGAGGAACCTAAACACACGGCGAATTCCCCGAGTATCCTCCGCTTGCAGGAGGACAGCTGCACGCACTGGCTGCCTAGAAACGCGCTTAAAAGCGGCGCCGTACTTGTCACGATCACGTACCGCAACGTCACGTTACTTTGAGGAGAAACAGGGGCGTAGGGAGAACGTTCAGTGCCAAATTTACAATGTCATCCCTTTGGCCTCCCCGGCTGAAACGCGACCAGAAGTTTGTCACGTGTAACTCAGAAGCACCACCGAAACCTCCGAGCTCGCTTCCAGGGCGGGAAGAGGCTCTGGCAGATCGAGCTGCCAGGCGGGGCCCCGCGGCCCCGGCCCGCCGCCGGCGCCGTCTGGGGCTACGCACGCACCGGCTCTGCGTCAAGCGGCAGACCCTTACCACTCTAGAGAAGAGCCGGAGCGTTTCTAGGTCTTCCAGGATGTTGCTGTTCTTGGTGGTGATCAGCACCATGTAGAGCTTCTCCATGGGCTGGTAGACGTACCGCACGCTCTCCGTCTCCACAAAGGTGTGCTGCTTCCCCGTGTTCATCAGCTTGGGGAAAGCCGCCAGCAGCCCCTCGATGCGGGTCCGGGTCATCTCCACAAACTGCCGGGAGACGATGGCCTTCCCCGCCTTCGTGCAGACGGCTGCTG